GAGCTTCCAGTCCCCTACTGAAGCATTTCTCGTAGGGATACCCTTGGAGGGGGGTCCCCCTTCAGTTTAAGGTCCTTACGACCGGTTTTTTTTGTTCCTTTCATTTTGGTCCCACGAGTCATGGGGATTTAAAAGGTCGCCACCCGCAGCGCCCCATACGGGTGGAAGGCATAAATGCAACGGGGTGCTGCCTGGTGCCCTAAGGGGATCGTTCAAGACACTGGCTAATTACCACCCCAGTGCCAAGCAACCCTCAGCACAATGCCTCACACCTTGGCTTAGGTGGTCTGGTCCTGTAGTAAATGAAACCCTCACAAGCCTCCAGGACCAAGAGTGCCTGTTCGGGGGGAGAGGGGTATCCCAGATGATTAATGGCAGTGCGACACCAGTTGGTCATGAGTTGCGGATAGGGCAACCTACATGAGAGAGCTGCCCCTGGTGGTAGCTTATGAGCTTCCCCATTCCCACCCCTCCACATGGGTTGGTCAAACCGTTTTAGAGTGTTTGGCCCGAAGGCTTGCGGCACCTGATCGGTACTCTAGGGAGACATCTCATGTAGCCGAAGCTACCTTCATTGGAGTGCTCTCCCGCATTCGTCCCGGGTACACTGAACTGAAACCCAAGAGTCATTATGCCGCCTCGTGGGAGGCTCTGGTCATAAAGCCATCGCCCTTAATGGGAACTTAGCCGCCAGCCCCGGAAGGGGGCTGTCGTTGCCCGGCGGGAGCACGAGGAGGTGTCCCAAAACTGTGTCCCAACGCATACCTGGTCCATGATGCGTCCCCATCAAAGACACAGCCGCGGTTCGGCAACCTCATTGAGGATGGCGTCATTACCACCTGCAACATGTGACCTAAGAAAGTCACAGTTACCCCGGGATCAAACCCGGGCCGCCAACAGTGTCTTGCATAATCCATCATAAATAATTTATTAACGGTACGTTTGTACTTTTATTGTGCTCTTGGGCCTTTGCACAACGTGGGTGTGGCAGTGTTCCCAACGTTCCGGAAGCACGTGTAGCCTCCATCTTGACCATCGAAGTTTACCCTGAAGATGGAGACAGCGTGAATACGTACCTATGAAACATCGATAACACTGTCCACATCCACACGGAGTACACCGTGCAAAGACGAACGAGCATAATAATATCAACAATGAGCCATAGTGAAAACCTACAATCAGTAATAAACCTTATGTTCGACATTTTCTGATTGATTTTATCGAACTCCACAACACAAATGGCTTCGTTTCGTTGTTACAGCCCGATTGCTGTGTGATTGCACAACCCTACGAAAAGGAGAAGTTGCGGGGAAATGTGACAGCAGAGTGAATAAATCCGTTACGAGCCGCTCCAACGCAGAAACCAGCTGCCAGCAGCGACCTGTAAGAGCATATGGACTCGTCCGTTCCATCCGTTCACGAAAATTTTCTGCGCATGTGCCATCACATTGTGATTGAGCTCTCCTACTGCCATGAGTTTTGAGTAATTTTTTCTTAAACTTCTGTTGTGCCAAATACGCCGCAATGTATCGCAGTAAAAATTAGTTAGTGAATCAGTTTTTCTGAAGACATCTGTGCTCAATAAATCCATGATTTATTACTTTATAGACTTCCCGTCTATAGTAACCCTTGGATTGGATATTGGATTTTCTGATCACTTATACACACCACTCGGAACTACAGTCAGTTACACCGCCGTCGCTAATCTCCACAATTCACAGATCACTACAGCACCCGCTAAACCTTGTCCAACTGTTGTATCTTCACCAGCCGTTGCCTGGCAACGAATTTTAAGAGTGGAGATTCTTCACTTTCACGCGCACAGGTTCTGTCTTCACAGCCTCCCGTAGATAACTCTACTGAACGGACTTTATCCCTTACTTATAACATCTCGGCACGGATCACATAGAAAATACATCTCTTCTATTATTGCGTCCAGCTGTTGCAGTATTAGCAATTTGCTGCCTAGAAACGGGAACATGTTTACCGAGCCGTTTCCCAGAAACGGTCGTTATTTACAGAGTTACTGTTTAGCAACGGATCTACACGCCAAAATACTGTGGACACCAGCTTATTGAATATTTTTCTCATCTGGGATGTGACGCCGTAAAGTCTTGTACAGAGGTAATTTCCGTGCTTTTAGGCGAGGGTGTTCTCAACAGAACAAAGAATGAAAGTGGCTGAGTCCAATTACTGTGCATGTTGTGTATGAATCAGTCAGAATCTTAGAGTGCGTCACCCTTCCTCCCATTTCGAAGCTACAACCACTGCCCCGCTACTTCGTGCCACATTTCTCATGCAAATCCCAGAGACCTGATCTAAAAACACGTCTAGAATATCATTTCGATTCAATATACTGCCTCCATCTTCTAGGTAGAAAGGCTTATAACTTCTAGATGCAATATCGGGTTACTCGATCTACCCAACTACACGACGTCATATTCTAGAGGATCATACTTTTCATATTCAACGCCTTGAGAACCTCGTATTTCACGAAATAACATGCCGATATTTAGGCCTATAGTTGTAGTCAGTAGGGAATAACTGAATCCGGCAAGCTGAGGTCTGTCCGTCCCTACTTGCTGTAAAAAAACAGGTAAAATTGGCCCCGTGTTTAGCTAATTAAGTACTACTCCATGAAGACGTATAGGGGAGTGGATGTATAGATCCATGTTTTCTTGACCTCGGCACTAGTTGGAGGTGAGTGGTCAGCTTCACGCCCCGGCCGCTTTACCCCCGGGGAGAGAGAGCCCCCGGTACCCATTTGATAGGAGGCTGGGTGGGCCCCAGAGCCGGTCTGGACGACGTGGAGAAGAGAGAATTCTTTACCCCACCGGGACTCGATCTCCTACTCCTCGGCCGTGCTGCGGGTAGCCAGTCACTATACCGACTGCGCTAACCCGGCTCCTAAAGGTAAAGCTATACCTGTAACAAGTCATTGAGTCCCATATGACTGTGAAACGTCGAGGCTCCCACATTTTCTAGATAATCGGCTCACAGATGGCGGTGAGGTTGTGAGCCTTACGCGTCGGCCAGCCGACCCCTAGGAAGGTTCCTGTTACTCATTTCTGTTAGAGGCTGAGTCCACCCCAGGGTTATAGTGCGGCTGGAAGTATTAGGTTAATTGAAAACTCCAGTGACCTCATCGGGAATCGAACCCGACATATTCCGGCTTGTAGCATATTGGCTCAACCAACTACGCTACCGCGTGCCCCCGACCCCAACTTGTTGTACGTTTCCTAACGTATTTTTCTGTGTTGACAGGCTGACAATTAAGGCTGGCTGCCCCATGAACCTGGAGGACTTCCCTATGGACACTCAGAGATGCCCTTTGAAATTTGGAAGTTGTAAGTTATCAGTAATTGGTACATCTGAACACTTGTTACGGTAGTGAACCATAGATCAAGGCTTATAACGCAACACACGTAAGTGGTAGTACAATAAAAAGTGTCGGATTTGAGGTCCTCATAGCGGTGTGACATCGTATAGTCTGGTAGAAGTTTACAGCAGGAGATATTAGTATGTTATTATTATTGATACATCATTCTTTGGTCACAAGAAATAAAATAAAACAGAGCTCGTGACCTGGAGATGACGTGACTTTATGGAAGCCGAAGGTCCCTATGGTCCCTATCCTCAGCTAGATTAATCCAGTCCATACCACCATAGCGTATTTCTCTAAGATTCATCTTAATATTATCATCTCGCCTACGTCTGGGCCTTTCTAATGGTCTGTTTCCTTCTGGCTTTTCCACCGAAACCGTATATGTATTTCTCTCATCCCCACGTGTGCTACATGCCTGTCCACCTCATCGTCCTTGACTTGATCATTCTAATTATACTTGGAGAAGAGTACAAGTTATGAAGCTCCTCATTATGCAGTTTTTTCTAACCTCCTGTCACTTCACCCCTCTTCGGTCCAAATATTCTCCTCAACACCCTGTTCTCAAACGCCCTCAGCGGCCTGTTACTACAAAAATCATTAAATGAAAACCGCAAAGCTGTATTTCAGAAACAGCAAGGGCACAACGCACATCTGCCTTCAAAATAGTCCCAAGAACTTTCATAAGCTTTTTCACACAGACTGTAGGAATCCTTGGACGAGTGATCAGCCCGTCGCAAGGCAAGGATAACACAGGAAAACACTGACACAAAATAAACGCACACGTGGGATTCGAACCCACTATCCCAGCTTTCGAGCGAGCGAAGACAGTTATATCTTAGTCCGAGCGGCCACTGTGATCGGCATTTGTAACTTCATGCTATTCGTGTTAACAAACTACGCAGTTATACTCTGATAGGAATTAACTGGATTAACTATTACATTGAAGAAAGCAGTCTTCTGGGATGTGGTACCGTGTAGATGTGGTGTTAACCGACGTTTAGCAGGAACAGATCTCCTCCATCTTCAGGGAAGAAGGAAAAATAAGAAAATCCGCAAGCGAAGAGACAGTGAGAACAGGTGCAAGCAGACTAAGGTTGAGAATAAACTCAGCTATATGAGAGCAGGTCACGGTAGCTGAGCGGTCTAAGGCATGTACTGTCTTCGCTCACTTTGAAACCGGGATCGTGGGTTCGAATCCCACTCAGGGCATGAATGTTTGTGTGCGTTTTTCTGTGTTTGTGCACAGGTAGAGGCCTTGCGACGAGCTGATCACCCGCCCAAGGAGTCTTACCGAATGTGTAAGATGTAGAAAAACCGAAGTGAACGGAGAAGTTCATGGAGGCAGGCCTAGGCCCACTGGGGCTGGATTGCCAAGGGAAAAAAATATGAGAGCAGGAAAGGAGGAAACAAGTCTACATGGGAAATCAGTGAAGAGGGAGAGCAAGCAACGCTATCTCAGCAAGTTATAGAAGCATCTCATCTGTTCCCTAAACCCCTTCCCACCCCGGGACATGACGCCAGATCCACAAGACCACGCAGTCCATAACCGACTCATATAGCAACACCCCTAGCTTAAGGGATAATGCCTTCCCATTAAGCTTGCCTTTCTCCCCCTACACAATATCCTATACCTGCTCTAACCTTGCCCCTGTCCCAGACCCTTCCCCTCTCCCTCTCCACTGCTTTCCCATGTAGACCTGTCCCTTCCTTCCCCGCTCTCATATAGCTGAGTTTATTTCCAACATTAGTCCAAGTCTACTTGCACCTGTTCTCACTGTCTCTTTGCTTGCGGATTTTTTTCTTCCTTCTACCTTTCTTCCTCCGAAACGTCGGTTAACACCACCGTCACCTGCAACCTGCTGTCTTGCACCGCTTATTCTTCGACAGCGATAGGTTACTTCGAAACGTCTGTTGACTTTCAGCGGACTACATGGCTACATACTAATTAATCACCTATCGTCTGGATACTGAAAGTGCTTCTTGTTGCAGTTGGCTACACGACAAATGACGTGGTATACAGATGGAACGTGGCCAGAAAGGTGGACATCGCCGTAGACATGAAACTGTCCCAGTTTGACCTCATCGCGACTCCTTCAGCCAACCAAACGGACGCTCTGCAGTCCGGTAGGACTGGCCTTGTCCTCTTTACCATCTGCAAGTACCCCTGCAATATGACAGACTATATCGCCCACCGCCATCTGAAACGAGTCAATTTAATTTCAGAAATGGGCATTTCTGTGACTGAAGTACAAATTACGTGATGAAAGTACAGTAAACTGTCGTCATAACGGATCCGGATATAAAAGACAAAATTTTGTTTTGTACAATTGCGAATTTGGGGGCATGTTGAGGCGAACAGAACTCCAATATAAACAACCTTTACTTCATTGCGTTATGTGTTTCTGTGTGTATTGGCTATGTGCCCTATGGTGAATGCACCTTCACTCGATTATAGTGGACATCTGCGACGACGGGCGCCCTGTGACCCGTATTAATCCGTTATAACGAAGGTTTACTATAATTCACTTGTTTGTCGTCTCTGTGGCACAGGGAACAGAGGTTTGGTGTCTTTTGGGTCTCTTTTTACAACGCTGACAGTATCTGGACTACACTGCGTCAGCGGCGGATGGATAGATGATGAAGTGGAAAGAATATCCGAAAATCCAGTAGGGGGGGGAGATGTCTGGCTTCCCCCCCCCCCCACACACACACACACACATTCCGTCCCACGTGGCCTCTTACGTCTCATTGCTTTGCCCTTTCCTTCTGTGAGTTTTAAAATGGACGAACTCCATGCTGTAAAGTCTTCACTGAATAGTTACCCAGCTGACTAAAAGCGATTTAGGAAACCATTTCATTACCGTGCGCACAAAAGTCCCACATTTGACTCGATACTGACCCATTTCGATCATGTTCACATTTTCCTGCTTAGTTATAATAAACACTTTGCGTTTAAATTTGTTCTCATGTAAATTCAAGTCAGTTATACTGCGGGAGAACCGGGATAGCTCAGTAGACATAGCGAAGGGCTGTGGACTGCACGGCCGGGGTTCGATTCTCAGCAAACTAGTTCCGGGACCCACTCTGCCTCCTATCCAATGGGCACTGGGGCCGATTTCGCCGGGGATGAAGCGAAGCTCACTACTCACCTCCATCTAGTGCCGAAGGCAAGGATGGTGGAGCTACACCTCCACTACCACACAAACCTTCACGGCGTGGTGCTTAAGTAATTAAAACACGAACAACTATATCTTTATCCTTTACATATTGTACCTATAGAGCCGTTGCTATGCAACGACTGCGAAATGGGCAGGTATACCAGGGCCGTTTCTGGGCAACGGCTCGTTAAACATGTTCCCGCAGCAACGAATTGACGCGCAACAATAGAGGTTCTGCTGGAAACGGGGTGTTTCTACGTGGTTCGTGTCGAGAAGTTATAAGGAAGACAATTGGGGCGACCAAGTGAGTTCTGTACGGGGATCTCTGAAGGTGGAACTTGAGCGCGTAAAGCTGAAGAATCTCCACTGTTAAAAGCCGTTGCCAGGGAACTGTTGGTGACTATACAGCAGGCTGGAAAAGACTTAGCGGTTGCTGTGGTGATTTGTGAACTATGGAGATTAGCGGTGGCGCTGTAATTGCTTGTAGTTCCAGTGTAAAACCCCCGTCGATAGTCACCCTTACACGTGAAAATAAACACAGTGGAACCCCGGCAGTGCGAACTAATTAGAGCACTGCTGTGTTCGTACTTTGGAATCGTTCAGAGTACTGAATTTTAAATAAATATTTTACTCCTCTAATAAAATTATTTATAAAACATATTTATAGGTCTATTTTATATATTATATACAACGACCGCAACTCCCGGACGTTCGACAACACGCCGAGCTCAGGGCAAGCGGTAACCGGGTTACGTCTCTCACCACCTAGAAAGGGAGGTCCATTAACACAAGTCATGCTTCACAAGAATTCATTTTTACTGTAAGGAAATGGGGGCACGCGGTAGCATAGTTGGTTGAGGCACTGTGCTACAAAGCGGAAGGTCGCGGGTTCGATTCCCGATGAGGTCATTGGATTATTTTAATTCACCCAATCCTTCCAGCAGCACTATGGCCCTGGGGTCTACTCAGCCTCTAACAGAAATGACTACCAGGAATCTTCCTGGGGGATGAAGGACGGCCGGCGCGTAAGGCTGACAACCTCACCGCCATCTGTGAACCGATTGTCTAGAAAATTCGACAGCCTCGACGTCTCAGGATCCTGTTGGCCTCCACAGCCTGTTACAGGGACAGGTTTTTCTTTATTCGAAGGAAGTAAAGGATTGTGATGAAATTTATAACATTTCTAGATGGCGATTTTTGAAGGGGGTAATGTATGTCAGCTCGGATTACTTGAAGGTAGGATTTACCGAGGTACCTGTGTATACATCCAGGGCGCCTCGTTGTTGCGTCCCATATTTTACATTCTGGTTTGTGAACACCAAATTGAATAAACAGTTTCGTAAGAATATGTACCCTGAGAGCTCCAGTTCCAAAATTGTTGATAAGAAATATATATTACGTACTGTTTCTAATACCGGTATTTACTTTTCAGGTGACAAATTTGGTATAGTTTACCTAATATAATACATTTTCGAAAATTCCACCGTCAATATCAATGCACTTGGCAACTCGTGTGAGGACATGGCGTGTTGCTCGTCTGTATAGTGATATAGCTCTATATCGGAAACCGATCAGAATAGGACACATGTACATATACACTTTTTTTTTTTGCTTAGATTGGCCGATACCATGACCTCACAGATACTGGTCTTTCCCCCTGGGACACTCTGTATAGTAATGCATATATTCTTGAAATACTTGCGCCGAAATGAGTTTCGACAGGCGGCCTGCTGCCGTACCTGCAGGTGGGGTGAGAGGCTGTGACGTGCAGGTTCTTAGTGAGCCTCATTGCTTGCATCAGACATAGTTCGGCCCATTTGAAGTACATGAGGAGGACGATCAAAGACTGAGTTTGTTGCTTCCATTGGGCGGAGATGAAAGGGAACAGCGAGGCAACACATGATCTCACAGCATCCTATACTTGCCAGTTCAAATCCCATTCCGTATCAGAACTTCTTCATGCACAGGGAAAGGTGTTACCTAGCCCCCCCCAAAAAATAAAATTGTAATTCATAAATTCCAGCGCTCTTCTTTTTCTTTCAGTTTCCAGCAGTGTTTGTTCTTCATCTAACTAACAAATTCCAAAAATCAGGCTGGTGTAGTGGTAGCAATGCAGACTTGCATTCGAAACGGTGCTATGTTCGAATCTAGGACAGAACACCGGCTATCCTCACTGAGGTTTTTCCGCGGTTTCCATCAGTCTCTCCCGATTGATTTCGGCATGTTACCGCAATTGTGTCGGAACGGGTTCCTCCCAAATTCTGTCATACGTGTAAATCGTTCTACCATTCGAAGCCACGTAAGTCCTGATACTGGACAGCGTCCGGATATAAACCAGAAACCACTGCCCTCTGACTCCATCGGGCAGATCCGAGACCTTCATTTCTATGCCAGTAAAATCCCACAGTTGACTCCCATTCTAAGCTACGTTAATCTAGACATCCTCACATCACATCATACGCTTAGGTCAACTCCCTTCAGGATTTTAGATCAAAATCTGAATATTTATCAACTTTCTCATGCATCATGCATACTCCGCCCATATATTCAACCTTCACTTCATAATCGTAATGATAATTAAAAGGTAAAAATTAAAGCTATCCCTGTAACAGGCCGTGGAGGCCCAAAGGGTTGTGAGACGTCGAGGCTCCCACATTTTATAGACAATCGGCTCACAGATGACGGTAAGGTTGTGAGCCTTACGTGCCAGCCGCCCTTTGACCCCGAAGAAGATTCATGATACTCATTTCTGTTAGAGGCAGAGTAGGCCCCAGGGCCATAGTGCGGCTGGAAGGATTAGATAAATTTGAAAAAAAAAAATCAGTAAACTCATCGGGAATCGAACTCGCGACCTTCAAAACTGCTAATCGTGTAGTATAGTATATGTAGTATATAGTAGATAGTTCTGTATATAAAAGTTGAGAACTATCATTACATAAACGATGATGAAGACTTGACGTCACAATTCATTCGCATTTCTTTTCAATGTGGAGCTGCGTGCCAGACCGCAGCGGCCCTTCCTACAGGGCTATATCCCTGAGCGGTACAAGCCTGTGGCAGCCACGATACAAGCGAATTTTAAGATTTACAATTTCATTGTTATGATTCCAGGTGAATATTCAATGTTGATTGTCAGTTTCCATCTTCAGAGACATATGGGAAACTTCTTGATTCAAGTTTATGGACCTTGCGTTTTGTTGGTCGTCCTCTCGTGGGTCTCATTTTGGCTGAACAGAGAAGCAACAGCTGACAGAGTTTCTCTCGGTAAGATACGCAATTCCTTTGTTGTGTTGAGACACTCGTTATTGTGTGCATCGCTGGTCTCATTTCTGGGTATCCACAAAAATGTTTCTCAGAGAGATTAATGGTGGAACAAGAAGAGTTCGGTAGAAGGCAGTAAAATGGATGACAGCAAATGAAATTCAACCTTCAGAAACGCATAGCTGATAATTCCATGTGGACTGTCAATAATTCACGGAAGTATACCAGTATACTCTCTTTCGAGGAAGGAGTAAGTTTTTTTTGTATGAGGGGGAGCAGAAAATTTGCTTGTAAATGTACATTTAACCAATTTATCCGTAAATTCAGAATGTAAAAAACTGTTTCTAATGCAGCAGAGTCGCAACTTAAGCGCACTTAACTTACGTCACTTCGAATATAAACGCTCGCAAAAAAAGAAAGAAAGAAAGAAAGAAAGAAAGAAAGAAAGAAAGAAAAAAAACAGAAAAATTAAAATTTCAGGTACCGACAGAGTTAGGTCTACGGCTCGCTGTCCGTGACCGAAGCTTGTCTGTCCGTTTGTTCCCAGGTTCACTGTTTCCCTTTTCTCTTGCGATTATCTCTCAATTTCTTTATGTAGTTAAAAATGAAATGACTGGCTAAGGGCTGGACGACCGAGGGGTCGGAGTTCGCGTCCCTGTAGGGTCAAGAGTTTTCTCTTCTGTATGTCGTCCAGACCGGCCCTGGGGTCCACCCAACCCCCTATACAATGAGTACCAGGGGCTCTTTCCCCGGCAGTAAAGAGGCTGGGGCGTGAAGCTGACCACTCACCTCCAACTAATGCCGAGGTCAAGAAAATATAGATCTATACATCCTGTTACACTTTACTGTCAATTAGTCTTTTACAGTCTCACGTGCAACATCAATATTCAACCAAATTTATTAAAAGTTATACACATTAAAGTTTTACACTAAATGTTTCTACCAATGTGGTCATCATCTGGTGTTAAAATTATTGGTCGAGGAAACTGCTGTCTTCTGTATCGTTGTTTAGTTTTTTACTTTTTATGTCCCTTCTATTGGCATGCGTGTTCGAGGTGGTGGGTTGTATGCCCTTTGTTGTGTTATGTCGCGAGTCTCGTTTTCAAATGCTTCAGTATTTAAAATAAATTAGTTCCAAATTGTCGTTTCATTTGTTGTCATCCATTCATAAAAGATATTAGTTGGGTATATGTCACATTATTATTATTGTGATACACTCAACTAACCCAAGACCGTGGAAACCTACAAACCAACGGAACATCTAACAATTATAACAACATTACAGCCACATCCGTAAGGACTGCACTAAACAACACGCAAAACACCGACGCCGCAGAGGAAAACGGCGCGCGAAAACACGACGTCGAGCAATGGGCTCACACAAATATCTTTTGTGAACGGATGACGGCAAACGAACATTGACATTGACATATTCCAGTTTGGGGCTGATACAGTGTAACGGTTTTCACAGTTACCTGATGATGGCCAAGTACAGGCGAAACATGTAATAAAAATGAGAAGATGAAACAATAAAGTTGCATTTGAGACGGAAGTTCTTGCGGTGGGGTGAGCTCAGTCCCTTTGGTACGTCGGCCACTAACCGGCCTATTGTACCAGCCCAAGATGATGGATGATGGTGATTGTGGAGCAATTGGTGAAATGAAGACTGGCAGGGGTAACCGAAGTACTTAGAGAAAACCTGCCCCAATGCCACTTTGTCCACCACAAATCCCATATGACTTGACCCGCGTTCGAACCCGGTCCGCCGGGGTGGGAATCCGGCGACTAACAGCCTAAGCTATGGCACGGCCACCCTTTCAATTAACTAGGTATCCAAAACCGTCCCGGTTATAACATCTCGGCACGGACCACATACAAAACACCGTTCCTCTGTTGCTGTACCACTGTTGCGTTCGTGTCTCTTTCTGCGGGGATGTGTTTACCCAACCGTTGCCTAGAAACGGCTCTGGTATATTTTATTATCTCGCGGTCGTTACATAGCAACGGCTCTACATGCTAGAATGTCATGCTAAATGTCACAGGAACATTATTAATCGGGTTCATATTGTCTGTATTGTAATGCGTATTATGGGGGTGAAGACAGGCTGAGGAACGTAACCTACTTATTTCTGAAGTTTATTATGATAAAAATGGATTCGCCTAAAGCTGTTTGACATAACGTCAGAGTTTACAAGAACGCGGTCCACGATGATAAACGAGGACTTACTGTACTACCTCGGAACTTGCCTGCAGGAACTGAGGAAACCCACAAGAATAGTACTCATGTCAGCCGGTATCACGGTCGAAATTTGAACCGAGGACCTCCAGAATACAAGTCCATAATGTTACCTCTAGACCAACCTGTTCAGTAATGAATTGGAAAGGATTTGGAAGGAGCTACTGTCCCGATATTGGTCTGGAGGGACTGAGAGTAGTCACGAGAAACTTCAGTCAAGATACTTGGTGTTCCGGTCGAGATTCGAACCGAGCATTTCCGAAATATAAATGTAAAGCTTTACCACTACACCAGCCCGTTCGGTGAAGATCTGTGTTACACGTACATCCGTGAGAAAGCAATATAGAAAGCAGGAAAGCAGCGCCTACAAGTTAAACACCTGAAAAGCAGCTTTCCACAAATGAACCATCGAATTGTGCAAAAGCCGAATTATTTTTAACTAAGTTCCAGTTAAAATTATTGTCTATACGCGACCTCTAGGGAGATCAAGACATAGGTGGATGGATAATATTAAAATGGATCGTAGATAGGATGGGGGGTATGGATTGGATTCATCTGGCTTAGGATAAGAACCAGTTGCCGGTTATCTTGAATGCGGTAAAAAATTTCCACGTCCATGAGAACTATGGAATTCCTTGACCAGCTTAGCGACTGCTAACTTCTCAGAAATGGATTTGGAAATTTAATATGTGTCACATTTACGTGGTAAATAAATCCAATTCAGTTTAACATTTCGGATTTCTTTCACGAAATGTTCCAATTAGGCATAATTCGTTAGTGAAATTATCATGTCGCTCGTTTTACTTAAGAGCCGGAGTAGCTCAGTGGGTATAGGGACGGCCGAGATTCAATTCCTGGCAGGTGCAAGAGACTCTTCTTCCCAGAGTCCAGACCTGCTCTGGGGCTCACCCATCGTACCCAATGGGCACTGGGGATGATTTCGCAGAGAATAAAGCAGCCTGGGCGTGAAGCTCACCACATGCCTTTACGGCGTCGTGCTTAATTAATTAAGCACAGGGACAACTTCGCTTTTTTACCTTCCCACACTCCAAGGTAAGGAAGCTACTCGCATATAATTACAGGACAGGTCCGCATATCCCAGATTGAAACCTAACATAACAGTAGAAGAGTCTGATGCAATTCAGCCCGTTACATGCTAGATTCTGAAGGGTTCTGACGATGGTGTATAACGCTCAGAATTACCGCCTTTTTTTGCTTTGTCCATGGTCCGGTATTCCTAAACCTAGAGACCACAACGTTTCGGAAACTGGATCTGTGATCCACTGCTTGAGGTTAAATCTCTCTAAGGGACCCAGCAGAGTAGGTGTGTCCCCCTTCACCTGAGGACGGAAACAGATCCAGTTTCGAAACGCTGTGCCCTCTAGGTTTTAGAATGCCGGGCCATGGACAAAGCCCCAAAACAAAGTAATTCTGAGTTTTACGTAGCAACGTAGGCTGTGTGGCCAGATGGTCCGAGGTTCAATCGCCATTATAGATAGTCACTGATGGTACCAACAGCTACTTCCTTCAAGAGAGTTCGTAAAGCGAAATTACGTAACACGATTTGCAATGTTATAGTGTACGGCTGCTTTCCCCAAAAATAAAATAAATGTCCAAAAGAACAGAAAATTTTAATGTTATTGGGAGCCATTCTGGGATATAACTGCACGTAGTCCGTTGAAGGTCTACGGACAATTCGGAGGAACATATTGCCTCCATCTTCGGAGTTTTAAGGTAAACCATGCAAGAAACCAAACTCTGTTTGCTACTATTTTATATTTAAGCATCCTGTTACATTTCACACTTCTACATGTATAATATAAACTCCACCGTAAATGTAACACTTTATTGTAGTTCTTGTCCCCCTTCTTTCACACAACATGTTTCGGCAGCAACCGGCCATCATCAGGTGTATTTCACTTCACGTAGCTGTCACACTGCACTCAATGTTAACATTTAAACTCCATATTTCAATTGTTCATTGCTCTGTCGTAAATCGTATTAAAGAAAAGCAGTGGCACGCACACAGAGAACCTGCACAAAATAACAGGCGAGTTGTGCTCAAAGCAAGAGGTAGCCGCTGCAGCACATATAAGCATAGAGCAGGTATCTGTGATTTTGTTTTTAAATCTAAATTTAAGTTTTAAATATTAAAGCTAAATTGAGAATTTAAAATTTTAAACCAATCGACGTGTGTCTATTAATAAAAATTTTAAACACAATTGACAAACTCGACAAGGAGAGTTCTGGAATATCGTGTGCCTATTGACGACAGAGCAATGAACAATTGAAATCTGGAGTTTAAATGTTAATATTGAGTGCAGTGTGACAGCTACGTGAAGTGAAATACACCTGATGATGGCCGGTTGCTGCCGAGACATGTAGTGTGAAAGAAGGGGGACAGCAACTACAATAAAGTGTTACATTTACGACGGAGTTTATATTATACATATAGATCTGTTTGCTACCGTGTTCATGTCTGTTTCTTACGGGACTTACTCTTAATCCCTGAAGATGGAGGTGAAATTTTCCTTCTACACGCCAATTGACTTTCAACGGACTTCACGTAAGCAGAAAGCTTCATAACCACTGCCTGAAATTAAACATAAAAGCAACGGACATTGGAGACTCGGTTGTGCTAGAATTGTTAGAAATGTTACCAATAAACCCGAACGTCTTGTCCAAAATGCACGCCAATGTAGAACAAAGGTGGACGGGGCGAGGTTGCCTTCGTTTCTTTACGCTTTCTTTCGCACGTGCTCATTGGGGGGGGGGGCAGGGATTTCGGACGAACCGAGTTCCGTTGGGATGCCTAGCCAAGCCGACGGTATATGCATCATCATCATACAAGTTCTTATGATCGAAATTTCGCAGTACGATTCTTCATAAAGCGAGTGGTGTTTGTAATTCTTTTAAGGCCTCTGAACTGAATCAGTTTGCTTCCCTTCAGTCTTCCAAATTATTCAGATTTGAAACCAGACGTTGATCATATTGTAACGTGTATGCCCGTTACTAGGCAACGGCTTGGTAAACACATCCCCGCAACACATGTGCACGCAACAGTAGGACTTTCTGTTGCTAAGTAACGGCGCGGTAAACATGTATTCGCAACATTAGAGGAAGCGGTGCTTTCTGTGTGGTCCGCGCTACGCATTCTACGTAACATATGCTTTCTGTAGGTCCGTGCCAAGTCTGTAATGAGAGTCTGTAGCTAGAAGTCGATTAGAGAATTAGCATCGGAGAACTGGGTCGACTTCTGGGGGGTCGGCATTCCAAGGTTATTGAATTAGAAGTGGCAAGAAGACTTCACAGTGATTTTAAGTGATAGTTCCTGTGATAAATCCGTTGCCAGGATACGACTAGTAAAGGCTGAGCTGGAAAGTGTGTAGAATAGCGATAGCGCTGTAATTGCCCGTGGTCCCGAAATGTGTAAAGATATATGTGTCAATAAATCCAGTGACTCAACCCATAATCCGTTATTATTCGCCACGGAACCCCGGACACGTGACAGTGTTCTGGGTTGAATATGATTTTGGATTGTTCTGTTCAACAGGAATCACGACTGTTCTAACAATGACGTTCCTGGGGCTTGAAGCGCGTACCGATCTACCCAAAGTGCCATATCCCACAGCGCTGGACTTCTTTGTGTTCCTATCATTTGCGTTCATATTTGCGACAATAATCCAGGTAAGGGGACATGGCTCATACAACAACGCACAACAAAGGTGAAGTTGTCCTTGGGCTTATATAATTGATCACCAAGCCATGAAGTCGTATGGAGGAGTGGAGATATAGCTCGAAAATTCTTGACCTCGGCGTTAGATGGAAGTGAGTGGTCAGCTTCACGCTCCGGCCGTCTTATCCCGAGACAAAGAGCCCCCGGAACCCATTGTATAGAAGGCTGAGTAGGCCCAAGAGCCGGTCTCGACGCTGTGGAGAAAACACTCTTCCTTCCATGTCCTGTTCAGTTCATTATTTATCTTCATCCAATCACTCGACGCTATACAGTCACGGCAAGATTAACAGTCGTGGGGGGACCGGGGAAATATAAATCAGACCGTATCGTCACCACGTCGTACTCATGAATATATGAGTNGGAGTAAAGTTCGGCCGGCGCGTAAGGCTGACAACCTTACCGCCATCTTTGAGCCGATTGTCTAGATAATGTGGGACCCTCAACGTCTCACAACCCTATGGGCCTCCACGGCCTGGTACAGGCATAGCTTTACTTTTTTTTTTTTTAATTTAAGCAAAAAGTATATATGCACATGTGTCCTATTCTGAACGGTTTCCGAGATAGAGCTGTTTCACTTTACAGCAGTTTGGATTTGGCGCCCAGTACTGTCCTTCCCTCCCGCATATGAATCGGTGTGAAGCGCCAGTTGGCCGTTGTGACTGTTGATAGTGACGTTGTAGAGGTGCTGTGAAAAATGCTGCACATCTTCACGAACGCCGTCCTCACGCGAGTTGCAAATTGCATTGATGTTGACGGTAGAATTTTCTAAAATGTATTATACTAGGCAAACAGTACAACTTTGTCATTTGAGCAATAATATTTTTTTAATACTAGTGGGGTGGGACTAAGTCTCTTGTACTGCGGCCACTTCTGGCCTATTGTACCAGACCCAGATGATAGGTGAGGGTGATTGTGGAGCAGTTGGTGGAATGAAGATTGGCAGCGGAAACCGAAGTACTCAGATAAAACCTGCCCCAGCGCCACTTTGTTCACCACAAATCCCACTTGACCAGATCCCGGGATCGAACCCGGGCCGCCGCGATGGGAAGTCAGCGATTAACCGCTTTAGCTATGCCGCGGTCTCATTTGAACAATAAATACCGGTATTAGAAACAGTACATAATATCTCTTTCTTATCAACAGTTTTGGAACTGTACAGTGAAATAGCTCTATCTCTGAAACCCTTCGGCATAGGACACACGTACACTCTTTTGCTTAGTATGACACATACTAGACCTCCCAGAATATTCACCTTTCCTCCTGGGACACCTGTATTGTATGAGTTACTGCTAGAACCAATGTAATGCAAAATTTTGTTGTGCACCAACTTGTGATATTATATATCGCTGCATGAGAAGTGGCAGGAAACGACCGTGATACTGTCAAATTTATTTGGTGATAATAGGGAAAATACGAAAACTTCGGTCTGGATGTCGTGCTCCCAGTCGAGGTTCGTACAAGATATCTCCTGAATGTAGACTTTAAATGGTTACCTCTCTGATACCTCTCGCACTTTCTCTTGGATGCCTCCACTGTCTTCAAAGGACAGGCATAAAATTTCCTTAAATTACATTTAAGACTTCTGAGATTATTTTTACTGGTTGCTCTAGATCATGAAATATTGTGACATGACGCCTGAAGGCCGGAATAGTGGAGCCACATTAGGCATTCATTGCTAGGCAACGACTCGGTAAACAGATTCCCGCGGAAATGAACAAGCAAGCAGCAACAAAAAAACTGCCGTTTCTATGCAACAGGGAGGTAAATACTACACCTCTGTAGCAATAGAGGAATTGATAGAAAATGTGTTTTCTGTTTGGTCCGTGCAAAGTGGTTCATTTGAGTGAAGTGACATGAAGTAGGCGAAGGTAGCTAGTGGACTGGAAGTCAGTTGGTAGTTCAGTTGAAAGTCAGCCTATAAATATTTAGGAGGTTGGTGTGAGATGGCCACCAGCCTGGGAGCTAGTCAGAGAACTGCAGTTCAGTCATTGAGAGTTGTTGCTGTTAGAAGCCGGTAGCCGAGGCACGGCAATAATTCGGGAACCCAAGAGTAAGGGGAACGTCCACCGTTGGAGCCGTTACCATGCAACGGCTAGTGGAGACTGTAATTGACTAAGGACACTAGTCTGTGTGAAACAGTGAATTGTAAAGTGTAATCACGAGTTGTGTGTATAAGTGGGCAATAAATCAAGTCACCAATGCAAACCCCGTCTACAGTCACACATACACGTGACAATACTGTACATACAGTATATAAACACAGTGTATCCTAATTCCCGTTTTTGTGTTTATATTAATAATGCTCACTAAAATTATCTATTTAACGTATTTCTGGATTTCTGTGAAGGAAGAGTGTCAAATAAACAAATTGCTGCAGTTTTTGATTTCTTACGTATGTGAGCAACCATTTTCTTCTTTAAGAAGCATCAAGAGCAAAGATAGAAATTAGCTCATTTCAGTTGAAGATGAACTCTGCATGTGCTTACGTAAAGTTCGACCCAGAATTAAGTATTTGTGCAGCAAAGAACAAGTACAGGTTTCACACTGAAGAAGTAAATTGCATTCTTTATTTTAGTTTAAAAAAAAAACACCATCTTAGACCATACTTTTGTTCATATTGCTTCAATTTATCTTATGGTTTCCAGTAACCTTACTAGTCTATATTGTTGTAAACAGCCCTAATTAAGATCAGTTTACAGCCTTTATGTACATTAAATCCAGAGTCTAGCTTTATAAATATTTATGTGCAGGCATTCCCTAAGAGTTGAAAATTATTTCAAGGGTTCCTCCAAGGTAAAAAAAGGTTGAGAAAGGCTGCTCTAGAGTATATGTTTTCAAATAATTTCAAATTTTGATAAAAATATTTGTAATATTTCCGTCTTTTTCAAATTTTGATTTCTTTTACAAAAATCAGGTGAGGGAGGGGAGTCAGGC